CTTACCTCCACACTTGTCCCATCTGCAGAATATGAATGACGGACTGCCAGATCCACACCGACAACTGGCAGCACCTGTTCCCCCCGCGGATGCCGCCCACGCCAGCCGGCGCCCTCCGGCTGCTGAGCCCCTCCACTGTCCCCAGCCCGCCCCCCGTGTAATCCTGCACGAACCACCTGAAGCTCAGGATCTGCACCAGAACGGACGGGACGAGCACGAAGAAGAGGGTGAGCCCGAACCACACGTAGTCCCGCTTGGAGTAGTAGTCCGCGGCTAGCCACAGGTCCGTGCCCACGTCCCAGAAGAAGACGAGTAGCGCCAGCACGATCCACAGGCAGTCCAGCCACAGGCGCTCCTCCCGCGGCGGCCGCCGGGCTGCCCTCCCCTTCCCCAGGAGGTAGCGCAGGCAGGCGCTCCGGCAGCCCCAGTAGCAGGACGACGTGTTGCAGCAGTGGCAGATGTGCAAGGAGCTGCCCTCGTCGGGCTCCTCACAGCCCCCCGCCGTCTCGTCCAGGTTGTGCAGCTGGGCGAAACCGGTAACGACCCCCACACCATCAGATTTCGCTGCCATCTTGCTCTCAAAAAAAAAAAATACCCCCTCCGTTTTCCGGACCCAGATGACGTCACTTCCTACATACCTGTTCTGACCATACCTTAGAACTGCTGTTCCCCATCCCGAAAAAGGGTGTGATTCCACTACCACCTCAGTGATTACCTTACACGGGATTATACCGTCTCCCCAGTCCAGCGAAAGGGAAAAGAACTAAAGTGCAGTAGCCCAAATCTTGCCGTGCGGTATTCAGAAATTAAACCAATAAATATGACTCTTAACCACGAGTTTCTTTTCCCCCGCAACCAACGTGTCTTCTGAATCACACGGTTGATGCATACTCTGCGTGTAATACTCAGAATTAGTATTAAACTTTAGCGCATCACCAATTAACTCCCAGCACCTTTCTCCTTCGTTATACAATTTATCATTATTGCCATCTATTTATTTGTACAATACCAAATATTAAATAACATTTTGATAACGTGTCACAAAGTATTATGTATAGACTAATCATATATACTTACATGCCCGTTAAATATGCAGTTATGCCATACACATCAACAATGAAAGTATATTAAATATTTAATAGTTTATGTTAATTTTTTTTTATCACATATCTGATCGGTAATTGGTGCGCAAACAGACCTAATTTAACATTTATAACGCCCTATGCATATATTCAAGGTATTCGTGTTCTAACAAATTATTATCCAAGAAACATTTGGCTGTTCTAAGTTTACATAATGTGGGGCAAGCAGGTATAGAACATGGATGCATTGATGGATGGATGGGTGGATGGATGGATGTGCGATATTGTGTCTTATCGTATCCTTATAATTTAACGTACGTGCAGAGCAAAACTTACTATTTACTTGCATATACTCTTGCATTTAACAAAAATTCCAAGCATCGCATGTATTGCAGAATGTGGTGCAATAAAATCATACCTTTTTCAGGTAAATTCAGGTAAATGGTGAAGTTTGAAAGGAACCCTTTTAATAAAAAAATGACCATACATTAGACCAGGCGCGCGCACTGGTGCCTGAACACCTGCCCCTTTTGCCCAAACTAGCTATCTACGGTGAACGTGTGGTGCTGAGTTCCCCCCTCAACACGTACTCTGTACAGCGTTGCATTCCACATTATCATCCATTGCCTAGTGTCTCAGAGAAAAATCCTGCTTACTAACATGGAAGTCTGTGTCCATCTACGATGTACATATTCACTAATTTACATGGAAACCGTGTGAAATATTCATGAGAGCAAGAGCAGATTCTCCAGGTCAAAAAGCTAAATATCTATGAACATGCAGAATAAATAATGCAAAGCGTGTAAGTAGCAACACGGCTCGGGGGATACGGCGGCGTTTACATCTGCGTTTGGAACTAGGCGAAGAATTCTGTTTCGTCACTAAGTTCTAGCGTGCAAATGCGCAAGTCTTTGGCTGCTAGAGCTGCAGTATGCTGGTCTCCGGTATCCAGGTTAAGCCGTTATATAAATACCAGTGCATTTAAATAGAAAATTAGCCATTTAAAGGTATGTCGTTTAAGGGGACGATTGGCGAATTAGCAATCTTGAGTAAACGGGTTCTGTTCCCTTATTTGTACATGTAATATTTGAATCATGTGTGCTTAGAAATTCTTTTTGCATCCAACAGGACTTCTGACAAAGATCATGAATGAGGCTTGGCGATATATGGTTATTGTATTGATTTATTCTATAATGGCTAGCTTTCCTGTTAGTACTGTTAAACTGATTTTAATGCAGCTAATGTGGGCAACAAAAAATGGTAAAGTGATTTTTAAAGATCCTTCCTAATAACTTTCAAAATCTTGCATATTTGGGAGGAGGCAAATATTTTACTACAAAAACACTAAATAAAAGATGGCTATGATCCCTTTTAAATGGCAAACATAAACCTTTCCTAAAACAGCAAGCATAAATCAGCCACATACTGTAAACTTCTGGCCACCAGCAATCAGACAAAAATACTGCACTAAACTCATTGCAAGTGCCCTGAAAAGCTGTGAAATAGGCACTATTTAAACCCTATTAAAAGAAATAGGGCCAGTTGTGTTTTATTAACTGATGCTTCTGTAGGCATGAGGTTGGTGATCAGTCGCCATGGTAACATGAGGGCACACCCAAATTCAATCTTGTGCTGTTGCTCAACCTCATGCTGGTTCACAGTATAACATTAAAAATGTAAAACCCTAAAAAAGAGGAAACAAAAGAAGGAAATCGTGTTGTATTGATGTTCAATGAATGGAGGTGATTTTCTCTCACCAGAAGGGGAGGGGGGCAGTGTGACTGTGGGTTAGGCCACCATCAATTTAATCAGAAAATGATCAATTCAAATGCCACGGTCAGCTGAGTAACTTCACCATTGTGCTCTTGAGAAAGGCCCTTAACTCCAATTGTTTCTGGGAGAGTCTAACCCTGCTTCCTCAATTGTACATCACTTTGAATAAAAGTAACTACTAAATATGTAAATGCATTTTGGCAACATTAAATAATGAAAAACTACAATTAATTAAATATTTGTTTGTTTTGTGTTGTATGTATGAGGTTCTACCAAGGTGTGTGTTCTTTTTTACAATGGTTCGGTGCTTCACGAAAGGTCTTATGAAATATTAATGTTGATATTTGTAAGAGATTCAGACACACAAGTAGAACCATATACCTACTGGTTTCATTGAAACAAGAATTATTTAAAACAATAAAGCTCTGTTTTGTGTGAAATGTTAGATTGTGATCTTGCATTGGGAACGCCAGTGTTGTGCGACCTTTCTGTTTGGCCAAAGCATGGGAAGAAAGGTCAGAATGTAAGCTTTAATAATTTATTGCAAAAGAAACAGAAATCAGCACTGGACATTGCTGAGTATAGCAACGAAGATCAGAGCGAAAATATACTGCGACACATTAGCCCACAGGAATACTGTCCCAAGCTTCACTGCAAAGTCCTCAAGCTTAAGAAGGCTTAATGATAAACAGAAAAGTGTTTTTATTTAAATACAAATTCAGGTTCAGAGAATTCTGACTCAAAAGGGTAAACTCATATTGCTGTATTACTAAAATCGAGGAGTAGAATATAGAAGTAATAAACTTTTGATAAAATATTTTCATGTATTTAATATTGTATTATGTAGATGGATACATTTTAGCTAATCCTAGTTCTCCATTACACTTAACTTTCCAGTTAAAAGATGACTTGTCATCCACTTTATCTATAGTGTGGAATGTTCTTCCATTAGCAAGCAACGTCTACAGACTGGATGGTAAAAAATGTGTAAAAAATATATAATAAAATAAGTTGGGTAGACTTTTTCATATCATTTCAAACAGAATGAGAACATATTACAGTCAATATTTATAAACTTATTAATCTTAACCTTATAAAAGGTGTCAGAAACCCTTATTTCACCCTAGTGCTAGCTAACAGTAGTTAGAATAATACAATAAAACTTAATTGTTGAATTGTGAATGTCACTTCATTAATCATCTTTTTCCATTTTGGACAGATAAAAGATTCTTAAACTGTCATACAGCCACCTAGTGTACAGATTGAGGCTGTGCATCGTGTTTTACAAGTTGGTTTACATTTTCAGATATGCCACACATAGGTAGTTTCATAGAAAGCAAGCTTCAGGCACCTAATGTGAAAAATGCAGGTTTCAACAGTAAAGTAAACAAGGGAAATCCACCACGGAGGAGAGTTAGCATTTCAAATTATGGATGGACGGTGTGTCTGTTCATGAACAACATTAGATGAACAAGCGACAAGCACCACTGTGAGAGCTTTTGCTTTTGTACAGGTGCCGGAAATCTCTTTCAAAATGCTTCACAATCCTCGATAACAAGTCCAAAAATATGTATAACAACTTTTCCCTTTTCTCTTTCTGTAGAAATAGTGGATAGTTACAGAGAAGGGTGAGCAGATTAGGTGCAGTGATGGATAACAATTTAAATGATTCACAAAGTTTGGGGAAGTTCTTCTAGCTAATGGCTGCCGCTGATGATCGACAAAAGAGGATTTTTGTGAGTAAAACAACGCACATTGTCCAGATATGTATGAGCTTGGTTGATGAGGTGACATTTACCAACCTGTAAGAGGAGAACACACGTGGAAAATTATATCGAGGCATTATTTATACTGTACCTGTGTTTGTGATTCCTTCTGCTATTATGCTATCTGTGCCTGGCTTTGTAATTAGATTGCTGTTTGACAAAATGAATTAGAGGCCAGCCTGCCCTGAAAATGACATGGAAAACATTTGATTATTACTTGAAATGCTCTCCACTCATTCTGCTCTTTTTCTTCACTCTGCCTGGACAGTTGCCTGGTGCTAGGACTGTCTTTGCTTACAGAAGATATGCTTAAATAACAGTATGAGGTGTTTTACAGTATGCTCGCCTCATCCAGTCACTTAATGGGCTTGCCTTCAGCTAGTATAGGCTTTTGAAGGACCTCCTACTCCAACCAGGTCTGAGAACCTGGGTATGTAATAGTTGCATGTAGCAATGGGAAAATTGTTGCTAAACTGTCCTATGTAGTCGTCGCTCTTTAGCAAGGTTTCCACAAATGGAAAATTGCACAGCAAAGATGTACAATGCCGTCTGGCCTACTCTGACCATTCGTGATACCAAGAGTGCAAGAGTGCAACTTTGTATAGAAATATAAGCATTTTCATTTTTAGAAGTAACTCATAATGATAATAATGATCTCTGCAAAGTCTGAAGCTGACATTTTAAAAGATATTTACAGTACTAACAATAATACTATAAATTAATAATATTCATTTTAATTATTTAAAATTAATTGCAGGTTGAGGCATGCATATCAACTCTTCTTTATTCTGTATATGTTGTTGCTGTATTTTGCTATCCGCAAATGTCATCTGTCAAAGACTGCTAGGATACCGACACTGTGTATCACGGAATGTAGTGTCTGAAACCACTGTCTTTTTTCACTAACTAATTTCCAATATGGTTAACTACATAGGGAATAGTAAATGAGCGAGTGAACCAGTTAAAATACAGTCCCTCTATCTCATCATTTGCATAGAATCACCCAGACTGTTGTCATGACTACTGTTGTCAAGGCCTTGATAAGCAGCATGTGTTAATTTTGTGACATAGAAGCCCTTCATGTTACTGACAAAAAGAAAAAACTTTTTGTCCCCAAATTGAGATTACTGTCATTTCTAACTTCATT